CTCCCCTCCCCTCCCCTCCCCTCCCCTCCCCTTCTCTTCTCTCCTTCCCTTCCTTTCTTTCTTTCGACAGAATTTCACTTGTTAGCCCTGGAACTTGTAGACCAGGCTGGCCTTGAACTCAGAGACCCACCTGCCCCTGCCTGCCACCGCTCAGTTGTCTACTCTTCTAATATGCAACCAGGGATGGGCAAATTAGATGTCAGGGAGCAGAGGAGAAGACACAGAGCACAAGTACTTGAAAGATGGCAAATATAAGAGGTCAATGCCTGTTCCTTGCATCAAAGACTCCACAACTGTGGACAACTGTCCATGAAGGTGTGGGAGAGACTGTTCACTATCCTGCATGAGATTGTTATGGCCCACCGTGAAGTTCTCCCTCCTTTCCTGTTAGAAAGTTCAGCTGAGACTCTCTGTCTTGGTACACAGTATCCACAGTATCACATTCTGGCTTTTCCTTCCTGGGTTTTGTTTTTTAAAGTTGTTCCCATTTTCATAAACCTCCTGCACCTTCTTTTTCAGATCCTTGGCCAGTGTGGCAGAGCATAAATGTTCCTTCCTAAGTGTTTGCCTGAATATATGTCTGTGCACTACATGTGTGCAGTGTCCAGGGAGGCAAGAGGAGAGCAATGGATCCCCTCCTCTGGACCTGGAGCTACAGACAGTGTGAGCTGCCATGTGGGTGCTGGGAATTGAACCCAGGGTCTCTGGAAGAACAGTCAGTGCTCTTAACCACTGAGCCATCTCTCCAGCCCCTTGTTGGTTTGTTTCTCGTTTTTCAATTTGGTCTCAGAAAATATAACATATAATATAAATATAAAATATAACCAGATTTTACTTAATATTTTATATTAGACAACCAGGGAAAGATACTTCTTAAAACTAGGTTATTTGATCCTACATGATTTACAAATTTCAAATTTTCACAATAATTCATACCACATTTAATGCTTGAAAATAGATTTCTCAATAATATGAAACTGGATGTCAACTGAGAAAGAATACATATATTACACCTAACCTGACAATTACATAAGAAAAAACATGTAAGACTTACATGTCTCAAAAGCAAAAAGATACTCTAAACATGAAATCGTCTGAGTCCTATTTGATGAAAAATTACCTCTTGAGCCAGGGATGGTGGCGTATGCCTTTAATCCCAGCACTTGGAAAGCAGAAGTAGACAGATTTCTGCAAGTTTGAGGCCAGCCTGGTCTACAGAGCGAGTTCCAGGACAGTCAAAAGTACACAGTGAGACCCTGTCTCAAAAAAAAAAAAAAAAAACACAAAACACAAAAAGTTTTGGATGTGAAATCACATGCCTTTAATTACAGCACCTGGGAGGCAGAAGCAGGAGGATCTCTGAGTTCGAGGCCAGCCTGGTCTGCAGAGCGAGTTCCAGTACAGCCAGGGCTACACAGAGAAACACGGTCTTAAAAACCAAAAACAAACAAAGAAAAAGAGAACCTTTACCTGATGAGCCATCACACTGCCCCATTTCTTTTGCTCAGGAGGTAAAGGCATTGAATTTGAGGCCAGCCTAGTCTAGTCCTAGGACAGCCAAGGCTACACAAAGAAATCCTGTCTCAAAAGTGAGCAAGCAAACAAACAAAAAAGAAAACTTACCTCTCACCATTAGGTCCCACTCTATTGATTAATTTTTCCATGGCTTCTTCCGTCTCTTTTAGTTTTTCTTGCAGTTGAACAAGCTCATAATTGGCTGAAAAACAAGCATCAATCTAAGAACCATCATATGCTATTCCCTAAACCCTTTCAAGAAACGGCTGACTGACATGATCTGCGATAACCCAGGCTTCTTCAGAGACTCGGGAGAACAGACATGAGCTTCTCTATCTAATACAACCAGCACAGAAAAGGCGTGGAGGTCTGGCCACGAGGATCAACAGGATACATACTCACTTAGGAAATGATAAATAAATCACTCCTTCTTCCACACAGTAATCCAACAGAACCAACTAAAGAAACATCTAACACTGAAAACACACACTGCGAAGTTGCCCCAGCGTAAATGCAGAAGGTAGATAGATGACAGAGCCCCTGGGTAAGGTACCAAGCCCAGGGAGTACTAGAACAAAGGGTCAGGACTCTGAGGTGAGCCCTGTTTGCCTGTATTTATGGTTTGGAATTAATAGTTTCACTGTTATATTTCTTCAGTAGGAAATCCTGAATTACGGTTGAGACCTCTTTGCCCAAAGTTTTCTGACCCTAGTTGTCTAGAATAAAAATAGACCATGCTAGGGTATCCATAGTTACAGTTTTCTCAGACAGGGTCAGTAGACTGTAGACACACACACACACAGCAGAGAGAGAGAGAGAGAGAGAGAGAGAGAGAGAGAGAGAGAGAGAGAGCGAGCAACAGCACAACAGCAAAACAAAAAACAAACAAAAAAAAAACCCCTCAAAACCCTGAAGTGCACTTTCAGGCAGTAAGAAAACTAATGCCCCTCCACATATGAACACCTAGACTTCTATTTCATACTTCTCTTGTGTAGACCTGCTGGCTTCAAACTTATTCTATAGAGCAGCCTGGCTTCGAACTCAGAACCGGCTTCCTCTGTCTCTTGAGTGCTAGGATTAAAGTAGGATTAAAGGTGTCCACCACCACTGCCTGATTCTAAAAGACCTTAAGGCCTTTTCTTTTTTTCTTTCCTTTTTTTTTTTTTCTTGAGACAGGGTCTCTGTGTAGCCCTGGCTGTCCTGGAACTAGCTCTTGTAGACCACGCTGGCCTCAAACTTACAGTGATCCACCTGCCTCTGCCTCCCGAGTGCGTGCCCCACTACCACCCGACTCTAAAAAGTCTTTTAAGGCAGTTAATTCCTGGGAAGTGGGTGCAAACTGCACTATTTGGTACTGAAGTTATTGTTAGTTTTGCATGATTCTGAATTAAAAGATAAAGCTGACTCACCGCTATTGCCATTGTTACAAAAAGCAGTCTTGGGAGTTCATTTTACCATTTAATGTTTTCTTTCTGTCTCTGACAAAAGATGGTCTCAACAGTCTGTTTTTTATTTTATTCATTAGTAGAGTGTGTATTTTGTTTTGGTTTTTACTACTTTTGTGCTTTGTGTATGCACTGAGTGTGTGAGTGTGTGTGTGTGTGTGTGTGTGTGTGTGTGTGTGTGTGTGTGTGTGGTTCTGGCTTTCCACACTGTAAAGGCAGGGTATCTCTTGTTTCTGATGTACTTCATACTCTAGGCTAGCTGACCTACAAGCTTCTGGATGATACTCCTGCCTCTGCCTCCCATGTCAGCAAAGGAATGCTGGAATTACAGAAGCACACCACAACATCTTGCCTTTTTACATGGGTTCTAGAGATCAAACTCAGTATGCTCTTTCACCCACTGAATCCTCATCAGTTTCAAAACTTCCAGTTGACTACAATTTCTTTTAATTACTGCTATTATTATTATTATTATTATCTCATGATGAGACATAGCGCCTTTCATTAAATTCTTAACTATTTAGGATTTTCAAAAAGGATGGAGACCATGATTGATAATTTGACATGACAGAAAATCCAGAAACAATTCCAAAAGGAGCTACGGCCTAGGCCAGATGCTTCTGTGGCTCATCCCCACTTCATTCTGCTGATGTTTCTCTTTCAAAAACTTTTGATGAAAAAAAAGTCTTTCAATTTGAAAACCTTAAAAATAAATGTAAAAGCAAACAAGAAAACTTTTAATGGTTGAAATGGAACAGATCTTTAATCCTAGCACTCAGGCGGCAGAGGTAGGAAGACCTCTGTGAGTCTGGGTCCACAGTTAAGACCCTTCCCACAGCTGCTGCCCATGAACACCATCCAGCCCTCAGCAAACTCAAGAGTTCATGTTTGCATAAGTTTTACTCAAGACATCCAGACATAATTCCATAGTGCCTTTGACAAGTCCTTTTTTTTCTAGGTAATGCCCCTCACAAGTTATGTTTCCCTCTGTGTGAAGCATCCGTGTGAGTGAGACCCATGCAAGTCAGTGTGCAGGTGTAGGAGATGATGGCACGCAGTGTCCTCCTCTGTCACTCTCTCCCTTATTCCTTTGCAGTAGGGTCTCACAATAAAGCAGGAGCTCATTGTGCTGGCTAGGCTGGCTGGCCAGGGAAACCTAAGGCTCCCCAGGTTTGGAGTTACAGGCATGCACAGCCACGCCTGGCTTTTTACACAGGTGCTGGAGATTCCATCTCCGTTCCCGCCTGTGCAGCAAGGGCTTTAGCCCACAGATCCTATTTCCTGGAATCATTCTAACCTACAGATTCTTAGAGAAAAGGACTGTAGTATATACATTTTATCAGTTGGGAACTATCTGATAGCACATTTCAAGATTCCAAAGTGTCAAGAGCTAATTATGGCCTGTAACAGTGATGCAATTTCTCCCTCGGGTTTCCTCTGAGAAATAAACACATTTGCTACAAATATCCTGAAGACTATAGGTGAAAAGTAACTAAGTCAAATGTTGACTGTTAATTTGCTAATGTATACCAAAGATCTGGCAGCCTTGTGCCTTTTGCAGCATTAGCCCTTTAAGACCCAATATCCATACACTCTTGAGAAATGTCTGTCCCCCTGGCTGTATTCCACTCCAGCGCAGTAAAACTTAATACGTGGGAAGGAGCACTTACTGATCTTTCTATGGGCGTTCCCAGGTGGGGCAGTGGAGCAGTTCCGATTTTCCGCAGTTTTCCCCTTTGAAAGCTGAGGATGAAGGAGGTACAGCACATCAACAGCAGCTCAGAGCCTCAAAGGTACGGAACACCGCATGTTAAATGGAAAGAACAAAAAAAAAAAAAAAAAAAAAAAGGCTGGGAGACAAAAATTAAGTCAGAAATCAAACCAAATATCAGCATTAGAGAAATGTCTTTTTTAAAGAGTCAAGAAGGCAAAAATGATCAAAGCAAAACTCAAAGCACAAAGGAAACAAAATCTTATCGTTTTCTGCCGTACCCATGCTTATCGAAGGATAGGTGATGTAAAGTACCACCCTGGGGACATTCTCATGCTCAGCTCAGGCTGCCTGCAGAATTCCTGGGTGAGAAGAAACTAAAATCTCCTCATTCTAAGCATGAGCGTAAGGCGAAGGTTCTACACCTCTTCACAGGGAACAAATCTGTAGCCTATAAAAACCTACTTGAAAATAGAACTAAATTGGGGGTCTGCCTTAAAAGACCCAGCAGGACACCCAGAACCAGGAAATATTGGGCTGAGTATGGAGATACGACAGTTTGCTGGGGAATTACAGGGATGACACGAGACACAGCATCTTAAACACTGGCACCATTAAATGAACCTTACAGTGGCTACTGGGAAGCCTGGCTTTCATCCTATGAGCAAGCCTTTAACTAGAGCATCTTTATGGTCTATCACCTTGCAAAAATGCCTAGTTTTTTGTTGTTTTCCTTTGAATTATAGTGCTGATTGGATTATGAAGATCATAATGAACTAGAAGATCCAGGTTTAAACCCTGGCCTTACATTTTAGTTGTAAATCTATGCTAAGATTTCTCAGCTGTGAAACTGAGATGATAGCTAGCCTAACTGTTCAAAGAGATGAGGTATTTTTTTTAAGGAGATGATGGATTTGAAAGGGCTGTGTGACCTTTATAGGGTTTTACTGGAGATGATTTTTATTATAACGACATTAAATTTTCACTGACATATGTCTAAGATAATCCCACTTACCTTAAACAGAATGTACAGTATGTACAAAAAAATTCCAAAGCCATAGATTGGAATGATCTGGCCCATCAGTCCTCTTCCACTACCCCCTCCTCCAGCACCTCCACCTGCTCCTTTGGCCTTTGCGAAGGCTTCTGCAAGGTGGGGCCTCTGGAAACGAGCTCCAGGCATCTGACCATCTGAGGGCGCTGAGTGGTGATGCATCATAGGTGGAAATCGGCCCAATTTTCCTGAGAAAAGTAATTACTCAGCTTTATCTCTTCTATTTTAAATATGGATATGGCAAAAACATCTTACGCATTGAAGTTAAAATAACAGAAGCATCTCAAACATGTTTAAGAAAAAATAGAAATTTGATTAGAAAGATAGCAAGTATCATACAGATACAAACATGTTGTAGTAATCTCAACTTATTCACTAAACACATTTTCTCTTCCTTCTTGGTTCACAGCTAAATTACATTTCCTCCTCCTGTAGAGTTAAATGTGACAGAGTTCTAGGCGAAGGAACTTGGTCAATAAAGCTTCCCATAGGTTCAATTACATGACCATTTCCTTCTGTAGGAGGACACTAAAGACCAGGGAGACCTTGACAGTCATATGTAGCAAATGGCAGCGCCTCCACCAACCTTGATTCCTAAATAATTGGGGCACAGGCCTCTACTTGTCACCCTGCTAACTTAGAGTCATCCGGTCCTGTTTGTGTAAGTGAGAAGCGAGCATTTATTGTGCGAGGGCCATTATAGACTTTGGAGTCTGTCTGTTACAGTGGTTAGCCACCTCTATCTAATGCAAAAGGAAATGTAATGTATTCTCAGGAGAGAACAGAGCCAGAAACTGGAAAGCCATCAGGAGGATCCAGGCCGGCTACTTTCACATTTCAGCTCCAACTCGCTCCTCTCTATGGGACCACAGCCTTTTCCCTTTGTTTCTTTGCTCACAACTTCAGTCTCTTTCTTCAGATAATCCCTCTAGTTCTTTGTGCCCACAGTAGAAGACAGTCATTCCAAACCTCTTAATTTGCAACTCCTTCAAGAAACTAGTTAAGATGGGCCCTAATTCCAAATTCCTTGGAGGAAGGCTGAGTGAGTGCACAGCTTAGGGAGGCAAGCACCACTTTGGATCGGCTAGAGCTGAGCAGACAGGATTCAAACAGGAAAAACAGGGTCAAAGGCCCAATCCTGGAAGAGCTTAGAGAAGGGAAGGTTTATAATCCTTTTTCTTTCATTTTTTAAAACTCCATTAAGAGCAGCCAAAAGATAACACCACAAGCCCAATTGGGGACAAAGAAAGGAAACAGTAAGTCTTCAAAAAGCCACAAGTACAAGTGTCTGAAAACCAGTGTTGGGATAACATTCTAAAGTACAGAACACTAGAGAACAGAAGAACCTCCAAGAAACTCTTAAACAAATTTACTATATTTGGCTTCAACAAAATTAAGGATCTCTGTACAATACAGAAGACCATGAACAGAATTAGGAGGAATGAAATCATAAAAAAGTCTAACATTTAAAATGGAAAAGGACTAGATATCTATAATATAGAAGAAGAGCCTGTCACTTAATGACATCACAAGAAATTCACAGCAAAAGAAACCAAAGATATGAATAAGAAACTTACAAAAACTTACCTAAGTGGCTGCCAACACACAAATAATGAAACTTAAAGTATGACAGTGGTTGGTCAGTGCTGAGTAATCAATACTAACAGGGTATGTGACCAAAGGGCATAGTTACTGAGAAAGGGCTTTCTACCAAGCAGGATGGTGGAAAGTAGCAAAAGGAGGCCAAGATATGGGAAGGCAAGAATTGTGCACTGAGGTAAGAGTGCACACACACAGTCACCCTGCTGACTGGTACCTGTGCTTTGTGATACTATATATAGGCTGGATAATCTAGTGGTCCCTCCCTGGTGGGTAAATCTGGGAGAAGTGATCAAATACAGTTATGGATAGGTGGGCTGAATTACTCCCTACAGATCTGTGATGGAAAGCTCACTATGACCATGTATCAAGGAGCTTCAAGTAACTAACCTTCATAACTGGAAATAAAAAACTGAAACGGAATTGACACAAATAACAGAATTTTATGTCTTTTGAAACTAATTATAAGTGTCTATAGAAGACATAGTGACACACACCTATGAACTTGGAATATGAGGCAGGAGAACTGTGGGTAAAACTGGCCTGGGCAACATAGCAAAATCCTGTCTCAAAAGTAGGAAAGGGAACTGAGGATGTGCAATAGCTCATAGGTACACAGCTGGCCTGCCATACCCAAAGCTCTAAACTGAATCCCCAGCACTGAAACAAGCAAACAAAGGCAGGATAGAAAGAGCAAAGTAAAAAGACAGAAAGGCAAAGGATGCCTCACCACCTCCCAGTCTGCTTTGCCTTTCTTGCTGACTGAGAGTCAAGAATTTTGACTGCACTAGCAAAACCACTATGAAGATGGCCTCTCCTGAGATTTTTTTTAAATAAGAGTGTTAAATCAGCTAATGAGTCAGACATGGTCACATATCCCTGTAATTCCAGGGGAAGTGGAGGCAAGGGATCAGAAAATCAAAACCATCCTTGGGTAAACTGTCTCAAAAACATATTGGGGTCGGGGTAGGGACACAGAGATGGATGATAGATAAACTAATGACCATGCTTAGGCCCCAAATTAAGTTTAATTTTAATCACCAGTCATTTCTCATCTTGGAACTGTATTTTTCTGAGAAAGTCTTACAAGTGTGGTTTGTGAGCCACACTTACAATCCAAACCCACGCCTGGACCTACCTCTTACTGCACAGTAAGAGCTACTTTGACTTCTTTTGACTTCTGCCTTTATCTGAACAGCAGTCCGTTCTTATCTTTAAATATGTACCACTTACCTCAGAAGACACCTTTGCATAAAAATCCTTTAAACAAAAAGTCAAGGCTAGGGATGTGGTTCATTTGGCAAAGCAGCTGCCTAGCATGTGCAAGGCTCCAAGGTAAATCCCCAGCACTTTCCCCCCAAAAGTATACCAAAATATTTGCACTTAACCTTTTAAACTTAGATATCAATGATATTATTTGAACAATATAACTTCAAAAGCCACAAAATCACCAGAGAAAGAGAGACAGAGACAGAGAGAGAGAGGGAGAGAGAGAGAGAGAGAGAGAGAGAGAGAGAGAGAGAGAGAGTGCTAAGGTACTGAAATATGACTCTCTTAAGAAGCCCACACCTACACACTGGGTTTATAGTATCCTTTTCTTAGTAAACTCAATTTTGCTTTATAACAACTCCTGAATTCTTTCTTGAGGCATAAGTAGAACTCTGGATGCACCCAATGTGGCAGTCTCTCTTAGGAGCGTGTCAGGCTAAACAACAACACAGCAATGCTGCGCTGCATTTCTTGCTGTGAATGACACCGTGTAAGTTGAACAAGTAATTTCTTTGTATTCCTTTTTAAGCAAACACAAACACGAATGTATAAAGGCTTAAAATAAAGACATTAGAAAAGATACATGACCTGGCTTGGGACCCGGCAGGTAAAGTGCCTGCTTTGCAAATACGAGGACTGGAGTTTGAGTCCCAGCACCTACATTTAAAAGCCAAGCATGGTGCTGTGCATTTTTAATCCTAGTGATGTGGAAGTGGAGACAGGAGGATCCCTGGGACTTCATGGCCAGCCAGCTAAGCCTACTTGGCATGTTCTAGGCCAGTAAAGTACCCTGTATCAGATAGACAGAGATAGACAGACAGACAGCCCAAGAAAAAATACCTGAGTTTTCCAATGGCCTCCAAATATATCTACATACATGTGTATTCACACTCAAACACATAAATGGACCTAAAGAGAAAAGAACTTTTGTACTTGTAAAACAGATTTCGAAGTTCTGTGAAGAGAGCTATCTACCTTTAAGTGAACTCTGCCCTTAGGTAGGAAGAAGGGCGGCAAGGAGGTTAAATCATTAGCTACCGGGCATGGAAGCTGTGTTTTGCTTTATATCGTTTCTTACCCATGCTCCCCTCCAGTAATTTTCCTTTCCCTCTCAGTACTGGCTTTGGATGCCATGGAAGCTATGGAGGAAACCCTTTGTTTCAGAATGGGCCAACCCAAGAATGGTGCCTCACACCTATAATCCTAACAATGAGGAGGCCAAGGCAGAAAAATTGCCGTATGTTTGAGGGTAGCCTGGATACCAGAGTGAGCTCCAGGCCAACCTGAGCTATAAAGTGAGGCTGTCTCAAAACAATTGGAAAAAAAAATACAAAGATAAAAATAAGAGTGGGTCGAGTAGTAGTTTGAGTAAGAATGCCCGCCACTCCCATGAGCTCATATAAATGAATACTTAGTCACCAGGGAATGGAACTCTCTGATACGATTAGAGGGATTAGGAGGTGTGACCTGGCTGAAGGAAGTGGGTCACCAGGGATGGGCTTTAAAAGCCCCTGCCAGACCCAGTCTCACTTTCTGCTATCTGCAGGTCTGGCTGAAGAACCTCAGCTATTTCCCAGCACATGTCTGCTAGCATGCCACCATGTTCTCTCTCTGTCAAGATGATAATGAACTAAACATCTGAAATTGTAAGGAGCCCCAGTTAAATGCCTTATTTTATAAGCCTTGCATTGCCATGGTCACGGTGTCAAGTGACTAAGACAGTAAACAAGAGAAACACAAGCTGGGGCAAAGAAACCACCAAGTCACCACTTTGTTCTGGGTGCTAGTGACTATGTCTCTTTTAAATTGTCAAGAATCATACTCAGTGATGAATGCTGACTTTAAGATTATTATGCAACTTTTTTTTCCAAGACAAGGTGTAATCCTGGATGTTTTGGAACTCACTGTAGACCAGGGTGGCCTTGAACTCAGAGATCTGCCTGCCTCTGCCTCCAGAGTGCTGGGATTAAAGGCGTGCACCACCACCGCCCAACCATGCAATTTTTTAAAAAGTGTAACCACTGAGATTAATCCCTAGAACCCACATAAAGATGTAATGGAGATTACTGACCCCATACACTTTTCCTCAGGCCTTTCACACACGCTATGGCATGGGAACCACCCCCACAGCTCACTCACTTGTGTTCTCTCTCTCTCTCTCTCTCTCTCTCTCTCTCTCTCTCTCTCTCTCACATACACACACACACACACCTCTCTCTCTCTCTCTCTCTCTCACACACACACACACACACACCTCTCTCTCTCTCTCTCTCTCTCTCTCTCTCTCACACACACACACACACACCTCTAAATTTAAATT